TGGGTATGCTGCAGGCCACCTGATCAGGAAGAGGAAGTAGATGAGGCCTTCTACAGACAGCTGGAAATAGCCTCACAATTGCAGGCCTTGGTTCTCATGAGAGACTTCAACTACCCTGACATCTGCAAGAGGAACAACACAGCAAGGCATAAACAATCCAGGAGATTCCTGCAAAGCATTAGTGATAACTTTTTGACACAGGTGATGGAGGAGCCAAGGGGGAGAAGTGTGCTACTGGACCTTGTATTAGCAAACAAGAAAGAACTGACTGGAGATGTGAAGGTTGGGGGCAGCCTTGGCTGCAGTGGCCATGAGATGGTGGAGTTCAGAATCCTGTGAGAAGGAAGCAGGGCAATAAGTAGGATCGCAACGCTGGACTTCAGGAGAGCTAACTTTGGTCTCTTAGGGACCTACTTGGAAGAATCTCATGGGATCAGGCCCTAGAAGAAAGAGGGGTCCAGGAGAGCTGTTTAATATTCAGGCATCACTTCCTCCAGGCTCAAGAATGGTGGATGCCTATGAGCAAGAAGTCGAGCAAAGCGGGCAGGAGACCTGCATGGATGAACAAGGAACTCCTGACAAAAGTCACATAAGCAGGAAGCGTACAGGAGGTGGAAGCCAGGACAGGCCACTTGGGATGAATATAGGGACATCGTCAGAGTCTGCAGGGATGCAACAAGGAAGGCCAAGGCCAACTTGGAATTAAATCTGGCAAGGGATGTCAGGGACAACAAGAAGGGATTCTTCAAAAACATCGTTAACAAAAGGAAAACTAGGGAAAATGTGAGACCACTGCTGAATGGGGCAGGGACCCTGGTGACAGAGGACACAGAGGAGACAGAGATACTGAATGCCTTCTTTGCTTCAGTCTTTACTGCTAAGGCCAGTCCTCAGGAATCCCAGACCCTGGGGACAAGAGAGAGCATCTGGAGAAAGGAAGACTTTCCCTTGGTCAAGGAGGATCGGGTTAGGGATCACTTAAGCAAACTTGACATCCACTAGTCCATGGGCCCTGATGGGATGCACCCACGAGTGCTGAGGGAGCTGGCGGATGTTATCGCTAGGCCACTCTCCATCCTCTTTGAAAGGTCCTGGAGATCAGGAGAGGTGCCTGAGGACTGGAAGAAAGCCAGTGTCGCCTCAGTCTTCCAAAAGGGCAAGGAGGAGGAGCCAGGAAACTACAGGCCTGTCAGCCTCACCTCCATCCCGGGAAAGGGGATGGAACAGCTCATCCTGGAGGTCCTCACTAGGCATCTGGAGGACAAGAAGGTGATCAGGAGTAGTCAGCATGGATTCACCAAAGGGAAATCATGCTTGACCAATCTGATAGCCTTCTATGACAGAATGACTGGCTGGGTAGATGAGGGCAGAGCAGTGGATGTTGACAGAGTGCCTCCTCAGCAAGTTTGCCAATGGTACAAAACCGGGAGGAATGGCTGATACACCAGAGGGCTGTGCTGCCATTCAGAGGGACCTGCACAGGCTGGAGAACTGGGCAGTGAGGAACCTCCTCAAGTTCGACAAGAGGGCTGCTAAGATAATGAAGGGACTGGAGCATCTCTCATATGAGGAAAGGCTGAGAGAGCTGGGCCTGTTTAACTTGGAGAAGAGAAGGCTCAGGGGGAATCTGATCAATGTGTACAAGTATCTGAAGGGAAGTTGTCAAGAGAATGAGGCCAAACTGTTCTCCGTGGTGCCCAGCAACAGGACAAGGGCAATGGGCACAAACTGGAGCACAGGAAGTTCCATGTGAATGTGAGGAGAAACTGCTTCACTGTGAGGGTGACAGAGCACTGGAACAGGTTGCCCGGAGAGGCTGTGGAGTCTCCTTCCCTGGAGATATTCAAAAGCCATCTGGACATGGTCCCGGGCAATGTGCTGTAGTTGACCCTGCTTGAGCAGGGGGCTTGAAGTAGATGATCTCCAGAGGTTGCTTCCAGACCAAAACGTTCTGTGATTCTGTGAAAATCCTGCTTTATGAGTCTAAGCTTTAAAATAAAAATATTTGCAAAAACACAAATATATTTTTTATGTCTCGCCTTTTTCACAATAGGAAGGATTATCATTTTGTCATTTTTCAGAGGTCTTCTCCAATCATGCAATTAAAAATAACAGCAAGGCTGTGCTATTAAAGGGAAGAAATAACTCTACTTTTAATAGAATGTGGGAAAATAGTATTAACAGAGAGTACTGTTAACTTCCCTTTAGTAGATATTTTACTCAAAGTATTTGTTACTGACCTCCCCGTAATATTCAAAAAGATCATTTGACACGAATGACAAGGAATAGTAGGCTATGTTCTCACAAGATAGGATGTTTTCTACCTTTCCGTTGCTACTAATTCAGCATTATTAATGACAGGAGAGTTTTATTGAAACTTATTTTAGTTCTTTTTATTTATTTCCCATATTCATTTTATGTAATTATGAATTTGGCTTTTAAAACCAGCTTATTCTACAATTTCCCTTTCAGCTAGCTGCTGTGTAGTTTTTACTTCTGAAGTGCTATTTTTAGATATTTTTCTATTGAGATTAGTGCTTTGTTATTTTTCTTTTTACTCTATTTTTCTAATTTCTGGTAACTCCGTGCTGGTGTGCAGCCCGTTTTTCATATGATAATCCATAATTGTTTCCGTATCACTTCATAATACACCTTTCAGAGAAATAATTATGTAAATTAGAATAGCTTAACTCGGTGCTTTGAAGCCTACCTTTATTTTTGTGTTCATAACTGTTTTTTCATCTGATCTTCTTTCCTTGTACTTTGCTAGTGATTTATGGGCAGAATTGACTACTGCTATTTTTGAAATCTTAACTGTCAATTATGCTTTTCTGAAATAAAATCAAGTATTGTGGAGTTTGTTTTATAGCAAAATCAACATGAAAATAATATTCAAACTCAAACCATCTACACAAGCAATGTGAATAATACTAATGTTGAGTGTCATTGGAGCAATCTGACTTCAAGTTATACATCGAGAAGCCAACAAGCAAATCAGTATTCGAAGCATTTGAACACTGTAGAAGACCTCATGAGACATCTGTCCTGTTGGGTTAGACAATCCCAATTTTGATTTTTATTTTAAATACCTATCTGTTGAATTTAAGTTCACATCTTTCACAAAACTTATTGGGAAAACATGTTCTTGTCATCAGTGCACTTTAAATGGTACAAGCTAAAACTGTGGGTACCTGGTTAGAGGTCTGTATATGTGTGTTAGTGTGTTTGCTCAGATCAGGAGGGCACGTTTGAGATGAATTTCTCTACTGTCTCCATTAACCCTGCTTTTGTTCATTGTGGAGTGGGCTCAGAGTATATTGAGTTCGTTCTGAATGAAATGAAATGGAGTGGAAAGATATGCTTCAACTGTTTTTGGGCATTCAGCCAGATTAGACTTAGTTTGAAGCAAGTCCCCAGAAACAGGTTCTCGGCATGTTATTTGCTCTATGAATGCACTTGCATTAAGATGCAATATCTGCAAATGTAGATGCGGCCAAAATGAACTTGCAACAAATTGCCTAATATAATATCTGTGAAAACAATATAGGTTTTGCAGGCAATAAAATACATATTATTGCACTTTAAGTGGTTCCCCTTAAAAAGCTGTTGATTTTTCCATGTATTTGGTGACTTTTCCCCATTGTTCAAATTTTCCTTCTACTTTATTATAAATCAGTTGTGCATTAAATATGTTGCTGAAACATGCTAGTTACAAACCCTTTCTTAAAAGATCTGTTCTGTTCCATGTATTCAACTGGCTTTAAAGAATAGTTAACAGATTCAGGGATTATAGAATCAATTACCTTGAGTTTCTTTATATCCATTAGACAAGTCTTAAACTCTTTTTAGGAATATTTCTTACTTTTATTCTTCCCTGAGCTATTGGGAAATTGTATTTTGGGACAAGTTCCCGGATCTTATAAATCACAGGAGGTCTGTGTTGTTTTTCAAAGTACTGTAGCATGTTGCTGTTTTCTCCTTCTACCTGATGGCCATGTTATTTTAGAAAGGGTGTGTGTTTATTGGCGGGCAGGGAAGGGCTGAGTGCTAGGTACTAAAGCTTTCATCAGGACTGCTATTAATGAGTTCATGTTTCTAAAGGAAAAAAAAGGAGTTGGCTTTTGATTGAAAAGCAGTAGAAAAAATAGTTTACTGAAACAGAAGATGTAAAAATGTTGAATAGTGTATTACTGCAGTAAGTTTTTTCCTCCTTTTCTCTCCTTTAAGAAAAGGAGAGTGTGTTGGTCATTAATCATTTGTTTTGGCTTTAAATGGTAAAAGTAGCATGCATATTGTCAGAATTTAAAGCAGGGGTGATATGAGTTAGTGTTAAAACTATTTCTGGAAGGGGAGGAAACAAAGCAAAATAAAACCCCACTGCTCCTGTTAACAAATAAACAATAGAATTTTTGCCAGTTCTACCCTTATGGCTTGTAGTGTATAGTGCTATTGGGAAGCAGGCTATATTCTGGTTTGCTTTGGCAAAATTGTCAGTAGCCGGGGCAAACTTGAGGTGTACTAGGGGAACAGTTCTGATCTGAAAACTCCGAGGTAAAAATGCACATAATTGATTTGAAGTAACTCTTAGGAGTCTCAAAACTACTTTCCTTGAAATTAGCTGTCTTTTACTCCTAATATAGTTCAAAAATATCAAACGAGCAGCCTATACAGGATACTAGGAAAGCCTGGTAGGGGAGTGCCAACATGGAGAACATTTCTTGGGTAAGGGCCAACTTAACAAATGCAGTCAGACAAGCTTTGTGTCCAGACTTGTGTTTCAGTTTATGCTGACAGGTTTAGTGTCAGCATAACTCAGGCTGTTTGGGTTTTAGAACTTGGGCACTGAGGCATATATTGCAGCAAAAATACTGCACTGCAGTTTATTCAGTTTCATTTCACTGCTATGTTTAATGTTTAAGGATAAAGGGGAGGAGAAAGAGTCCACTACCCAGGATGCTCTGTTGAGAGGAGCGAGTGAATGTGATCGTCGTCAGCGTTAGATTGCCATATGAGCTCTGAAAAGCATTTGTCTCATGAGGATGACTGCTCTAAAAATAGATTTGGAGGAGAGTTTTCAGTTAGGTCCAGTTTCGGGTTCCAGCTGAGCTAGCTTTAGGAAACTTTTTGCTCCTGTTGCAAGACTAGAGTGAAGATAAATCATTTCTTATTCCACCTTCAACATTGATTTTTGAATATCGGTACACTCATTTTACTTATGGAAATCAAGCATTAATGTTATGGCTGACGACACAGGTATAATTCTAACCTTTTGGTGAACAAATGACAAATGCAGAGTTGCATATATTGGCTATGTCTCTCTTTGTAATTGGCAAACAAACTAGCTTACTGTGGTATGTTGTTTTCTAGTTAACTAACTGTTTTAGTGTGCGTCACAGGCTGCCTCTGTTCTCTCTGATTAAATGATTTCTGAGGTAGTGGTATGTCCTGGGTTTATGGCAGGTGGTTAATGGCAACATAGTTTTTGTCTGAGCAGCACACACATTGAAATAAGAGACTTTTTTATTTTGCATGCAAATATCTGACTTAAAAGTTATTTTTGAAGTATACCAAATGACTGAGAATTTTTAAGATAAACTAAATGGAAAAACTTTTTTATATGTTTTTATCTGTGCATGACTCTTAACTTCGGGGAGGGTGAGGTATAGAACTTAAAAAAAAAATTGTCATTAAGGAATACAGCACAGTTTAAGACTTTATGATGTCTGCATAAAGACATCTGGTGGTGTAAGCGAAGGCTTACCAGATATGGAAAGTGACCTACTTTTGACATAGCTGGCAGTATGTGCAGAAAAAAGGTCGTGAATTTAGAATTAACTGTCTGGAATGAATTTACATATAGAGTCAATATTCCATAATGGCTTGCAATTTTTGTTCTGACTCTGTGTGTATGGTTGTCTGTTCAGATCATAGGTGAAGTGTGCGTTACATAACTTCTATTTATACTGAAGCATTGCCTGATAAAGCTGCTGTGGCTAAATTCTTAGAAATTTTCAAGAATTTTGAAACAGATTTTCCTGTAAGCTAGGAAGCCACACCATACAAATCTAGCTTTGCTATTGTTATGAAGGATATGTTTATAGCAGAATCTACTTTTAAAGGAATTGCCTGAAGCAGTCTTCTAGATTGGAAAAAATACGGAGCAGTTATACTTGATTACTTAAATAATTTTACTTTATTTTTCATTTTCCTGTTCTGTTTTTCTGCATTACGTTAAGCCCTTTCTTCAGGGCTAGCAGTAAAGCAACAACAGTAGGATAAATAAATGAAGATGTATGAAATCCAGTAAGATTCCTTTCTCTGTTTGCCTCTTTTAATGCATAATTTGCTCTAGAACAAAGTTATATCCTAGAATCTTTAGCCTAAAGGTTTCTTTTTAAGTATTATGTGTGTGTGTGAAGTTTTCATTGACTATAGATTGCACTGCAATACAGCTGTAGTAAGGTTCTGCTGTTACATAGCACAGTTATTTATTTCTGAATATTAAAATTTTAAATTCAAGAGTATTTTAAATACTTTGTATATACAGTTGATCATATTTCTAAAGGTGTTATCACACACTCCTTGTCTTTGCCCATATTTTCAAGCTGCTTGTACATCTTTCCCACATTTCCTCATGACTTTGCACAAACATAACTAGAGCGTTGTGTAGTAGTGATACGTATATTCTGATGAAAGCCTAAGGTGTCTTGGTTCTCTTTAAATGTTATTGGAAGGTCCATACCAATGAAACATTGTGTTTAAAAGAGAAAAGAAACTAAATATTTGATATTTTGTCTTAGTAATGAGTAATCTTAATGAAGAAAAAAGTTTTCACTAGTATATTGCGTCACTAAGGGCTGAGCTTAGCCAGATTTTTTTTATTTTTGGGGAGGGAGGTCTGAACTCAGTATATAGCACCAAGAGTATAATAAAATGTTATTTTAATACAGCTCTGATTCTATTGAAAAGCAGGGAGTGAAAGCCCTTCTCTATAATTCCTATTACAGAAACAGGCAAATTAAGTCATCGGCATCTACACGACTCTCCTTTTAGAGTTAATGCATTTTACTCTAAATCTTGTTGATTCTTAGATGTTCAGGGATTTTTTTTTTCTATGATCAGTGCTGATAAATGTATCAAACATTATTATTTGCAATTAGTATGATAAAGTCAGCTCTCTTGTTATCTTGTCGAAATATGACAATTGCATTTTTCTCAAATATTTCAAAATAAATAAGAAAATAGCCTCCATTATCTACTCCAATAGCTAGCCTGAATTTTTGGTTTTCAACTGTTTTCTGGCCCCTTTGAGGAAATCAGGCGGCACTCAAACAAAATGTATTAGATGATTATTTGTAGTTACTGTAGTAACCGTATGTAAATATATTCATGTCACTATTTTTACTCTGCAGTGATTTTGAAGTGTATGCATGTGGTTTAGATCAGAATAGTTATTAGTTACTTCTAATTATATTGTTTTAATTTTGGGAGGGCTAGGACTTCTGAAAGTTTAAGAAATTATCTGTAAAACATTAAGAGTAATGGAGAAATTTGAGCTTTGGCTGAATTATAGGTTGTTTAAAGGTGGTGATGAGAGATGCTACTTCAAATATTTGTTTTTCTGGGCTTGAGATGTGTCAGTGCTGTCTTCTGTCTGTCTACTTAATACTGAAATTTCTATTTTGTTACGCATGCTCAACTTCTTTTAACATTTCCCACTTCTATTCATGTTTATTTGAGGGCATTTATTTTTCTACCTGTATTAGGATATCTGATCATCGTCATTTGCAGAGCGAAAACCAAAATTTCTTATGTGGTCAAAATGGCATAGGTCAAGGGTATTTTTTTGGTGTCTTACCCTTAATATGGTTTAGATTTTAGAGTCTTCTTAGGCTGTTGGAATTTTCATGTGGATTTCATGAGCTAACTCAACTTGCTGTAATAACTGGCTTTGAACTCTTCATTGCTTGTGAGGAAATGCTTTTCTTCAAAATTGTGCTGGTTGTATTGCCCTCTGGTGGCAGTCTGAAAAGTGTTCACACAAATGCAAAACGTGTCAAAGGTGTTAAACTTTATTATAATATATGGTAATAGGAGAGAAGGAGGGAGTTCCAATTAAGTTATTAAAACAAATTGAATGTTTTTTGGTATTTAGTTGACTATAGGGACTTTTACCACTTAAATAATCATTGAGGTTTCCACTGTAATTTACAGTGATATAAAAAGCAAGTAGTAGAGGTGATGTAAAAAAAGTTACTCAAAGACCAAATTCTAATTATATGCCTAACAATTTTATAGCTTCTTATCCAAATCTATTTTCTGTAATTGTGAATCTTATTTTTACAGAGACTAAGCATGGAGGAAGCAAGAATGGAAAGAAAGAAGGCCTCTCTGGAAGCTCGTTTTTCACCTGGTTTATGGTAATTGCTTTACTGGGAGTTTGGACATCGGTAGCAGTTGTTTGGTTTGAACTAATAGATTATGAAGAAGTTCTAGGTAAGAATTTTATATCTTAATACAATATACTAAGATCCTTCCAATAATTTGAGTGATATGCTTTAAATGAAGGCCATTTTACATTTCAGAAAACAAACCAAAATATCAAACTTTAGTTTAGACGCTGCAGAGCAGCACGTGACTGGCTAGGTAAATTGACTACTGCTGTGTTTGGAAATGACCTACAAGATAAAAATAAGAATAGGCAAAGTGCTTCAAAAGTACATTTTAATGCTAGACTCTATGATGATGTTAAAATGGAGCTCTAATAAAAGTGGAAAACCCACTCTATTGAAAAGTTCATTTACTAAAGAATTCAGAAATTCTTCAAGGATAGATTTTTTATCTGTTTGTAAAATGTATGCAGTAGTTCATCTGAAATGTTTAATACAGACGCTCAGTTTAAGCTCTGAGAAACTTGCTGCATTGGGTTAGAACTGGGTGGCTAATGTTGTTACTGCCCCTTTGCTGGACAGTGTTTACTATATGTTAAGAATGACTGGTCAGGCATCTTCCTGTGAATCAGCAGTAGAATGACCTCATCTTTCAGCTGAGTATAACACGTAACACTGACTGTCATGTATCATGACATGACTGTATTAAAATACTATTGTTAATATCCAAGGACAAAAATGACAGCAGGTATTCATGTCTCAAATCTGGAGATGTATGTCCATAGATAGAACTATTATCTCTTCTCTTGCTGGCTTCAACATGCAGTTTTAAAGCTGCTGGTTTTACAAACTTTGCAGTTTTATAGGTCTGTTAGTACATCATTTTTGTTCTATACTAATTTTAAGAAAGGCTTCTGATTGGAAACTTAACTGGGTCTAGTTATGTGAATAATGGTTTCTATATTTTTACCATGCATGCAGCCAAAGCAAAGGATTTCCGTTATAACTTGTCAGAGGTACTACAAGGTAGGATGCTAGAGAAATAAACTTGCTTTCGTGTCCCTTGGCTAGAAACTTTGTTTTACTTTTCATGTTTTTATTTAAAAAAAAAAAGTACTATTCTTCTACAAGGACATGAAAAACTCAGCCATTTCTTTTCTTTCTAGTTGTTTTTCCTATTCTTAATACAATTTTTCTTATTCCTAGAGATACATTTACATTTGTTCTGTCTATAGTGTTTACCAACGAACCAATAAAGATCGTTACTAATTGATTATTTCATTAAGATGGTGGTGACCTTATTTTTGTTTGTTCTAGACCCACTTTTTTCCACAAAATTGATTTCTAAATTCTATAAGTACCACATTAAGAATTATTTTTCATATATTTTAATAGCAGTCAGGTTCTACCTCCATTTAAAGACAGTGAGAACTTTAATAATTAACTGACAAACTGGAAGATTCTACAAAGTCCTTCTGCAAGCAGTATGTGGAGTTACAGTGCTATTAAAAGTTAAGCTTGAATTTTATCAACACTAATTAGATCGCTACTCACTTGCTGATCCCAAGATACACCTAATGCTCAATACCACAATTCTATGCTAAAATTTCTTTGTGAAGAGAAACTGGGTTCTCCTTTTGCTTATATTCAAGGCTGGTTGAGCTGCAGTTTCAAAAGTGGAAGAAAAATGAGGCATCTGATGACTCAGTCACTTATAAAAATATTTTCTTGATTTTACTTTAAAGGGATAACTTTTTTGGCTGCACTAAGTGTTATATAGTTGCTGACAAAATTAGGAATATTATTTCTTTGTCCAATAAGTAGGTTACTTCTATTCTATTAACATGGCACTGAAACTAAAACAGTATAGCTATCTTTTTTGAGAGTTTAGAATGTGAAGCAGCATATAAATGGCAAACAAATGATGATTATTTGATTGATTCTTTGTTTCATTATTTTTCCCTGCTTAAACTTATTGACTGTTCCTTGTAAAGTTAAATTTTATTCTGAGTAAAGCACATTCAGATAAAGTGTATCATTCAATTATATATTTGTTTTACAGTCTGCAAGCGCCAAAATAAATGTGCTGAAAAATATTAACCTGTATTCAGAAGTGCAGAAAGGAACTTAAAATTTTTATTTCTAATATTAATTTTCCAGGAACTTTAAAAAGTGGTTAAGCAAGTCAGGCTAAATCATCAAAAAAAACATGGAAAAAGTCTAGCATTGGTAGTCAATGACTGCATATTGAGAACATTTTGTTGGAAACCAATTTTTTCAATTCCTAATTCTCTCCTCCTCCTCTCTTTGCATTTTTAGGCAAGCTTGGTATTTATGATGCTGATGGAGATGGAGATTTTGATGTAGAAGATGCTAAAGTTTTGCTAGGCAAGTACAAACACAGGTGGAATAATCTGTATAATTTAGTTGTCATAGTTCATTTTTTGGTTTTTATTTAATATTATAACAGTATTTGGGTTTTTTCCTAATTGAATAATTTAAATCAATTTAATTTTTTTCTTTTTTAATGCAAGTTGTAGGAACTCTTTTTTTCCCCTTAATATGGCAATGTAAGTGGAATGTATTTAGTACTTACATGATCTTGAAGTTTGATGATTGATGTTACTGTATCAACTATTGCAAAATAATTGTGATTATTAATAAACTGATTATTAATAAATTGAGGTAGGGGTTAAGACACTTCAAGAGCTAAAACATTGTTCATGGAAACGCACTGAGCCAGGCCCATTTTAACATGTGTTCTAAAAGGTGTTTCTTCTTACATAACTATTTTTTTAATTATTTATTATTTTGATTTAATTATTATTATTATTTAATCTCTCTATTCTGAATTCTCCACAAGTTTGTTCAATTTCTCTGCCCTTCAGAAATCCCACATAACATGGATTTTTCTTCTTTGACATTGAGAAGCTGCCCTTAGCCGTATTGTTCCTTCTATTATTAGAGAATATGTCTTTCTGCTCATTAGGATTCCTCAGAGAGAAATTTAAACAGTGCCCTTCTACCTGCATCCTCTAGCAGTTAAGCGCTATATCAAGTTCATGATGAAGTAATCAAGCTTTGGGCAGATGCTTCTTGTATAACTGATGTTAGAAAGTTTATTTTTCTTTAATTGTTTTTTCAAATGTAAACCTATTCTGAGCACACAAACCTTGTAAGTAAAAATAAAGCAAACAAACCCCAATGTAGTAAATAGCTTGAGCGGAGGACAAAGTGGAATGTCTCAAACTAGTAGAAGTTATCCACAGTGTATTAGGATATTACCACATGCTATTTAAGACTTGTTCTCCCTAAAAATCAGTATATTGTCAATTTATTTTTTTCCCATTTTATTTGCAGAAATATGCAAGTCTTTTGAGGGGTGAGGGTCATTTATTTAGTTCCTTCATGGTTAATGAAAACCCCTGCAATCAAACTTACTGAACCAGTTTCCAGTGGTATGAATGTGAGAGGCATTCCAAAGAATCTCCAGTGCTCTGAATGACTTTAGAGCTACAAATGGGGCACTAGTGATAAATCTTGAATAAAATAATATTTTAGTATATGGAATTTGAAGTATATGGAAAGTGAATATCACACCTCTAGTGGTTGCTATTAGTCTCATTTAAACTACCAAATTTGTACCCAGAAACATGCTGCTGCTTTGTTATAGCTCTGTTTTGTGGAACATGATATAGCTGGTAATTCTGCCAGTACATGACAGTGCTTCTATTATAAACTCAGCTTATCATGCATTGAAGCTTAATACTTCAAATGTGACATTAAAAGGTCACAGGTCAAAAATTGTTTTTTATTTTTGAAAAATTACTTAGATATGTGATTTCTGCTCGTTTGAATTCAAGAATATTTTCTACAGTATAAAGGAAACGGTCAGTTTAAGAAAGCTATTGGACATTGATAAATTGTATTTTAATATTCACAATCTTTTCCTAGTAACAAGTGTATAATACGATCTAGTTGAAGTTCACAGTGCTGGTTCACAGTTATTGTGCTGGTTCCTATTTAAAAAAGAATTTATACAGCAATATTACCTATGCACAATAAAATTATTTTATGTATACGGAAATTAAAAGACTAGATTCTCTCTTGAGGGAGTTGTATTGCAAAATTAAGTATCTGAAGTTAGTAAAGAAAAACATGTATTGCGGTAAGCTTGTATTCAACTCCACGAGGATTACTTTCTAAATAATTGAATGCATGGCCTTATATTTTTTATTTGTGGGATTTTTGTTAGTACATATGCTGTTTGAAGACTTGTATTTTCTGGGATTTTTCTCTGAGTAAGACTACAACAGCAACAAGTGCTTTCCCTGCTACTCTGAGATTAACTTAAAAAAGAGATATTACTGTTTAGTGTTAATACTAGTAAGTTATATGCTTCATTATTTTCCCTTCTTTAGCTGTTATTAAACCAATATACATTAAAATCTCTGGCATCTACAGTGGTTTAATGTCCATTTCCATAAGCTTTAGTTTTCACTAAGAATTTAAAGATTTGATTTGTATTTTAATAGTAAATGTATTTTGAAGTTCATTGTGAAAAACTCTTCTCCCAACATTAATTTGTATTTTATTTCAAAAGTTGGTTTTAGTAGCTAGTAACTTCATGCTTTTCTGTGGTATGTGGGCACACTGAATAGAAAGATTTAAATTGTGTTTATTTATTTATTATGTCTGGTATTATAGGGTCTGTTCTTTTTATTCGCTGAAATCAGAGGAGGTTTGATGCTTAAGTTCTTTTTAGGCATTTTTGTAATTTTGAAATAACCATGCATGAAGAACTTCTCCCTCCTCCACCCCCCACCAAAAAGGGAAGAAAAGAGAAAAAACCCAGCTAGCCAGCCAAGCCTGAACCCTCGCTGAATTAGTTTTGTACCTTTTTTTTCTTTTTTAGTTATCCATTACAGAAGAGCATATACTGTCCTTATGTCAGTAATACCTACAGGTGTTATGGTAAAGATGTATTGAAGCTAGTATACAGTTATCTTGCAGATTTTCTTCTTCATGGTTACATGTGAGAATTTGGGCATCCATGCTTGTATTGCTTTTATTTCTTTATTTTATTCATTTTTTTCATCAAGCTGGTTATACATTGCCAAATTATTTTTTGAACAAACTTATCAGTGGTAGAAAATTTAAGCTTCTTCTCATCCAGCTTTTCTTTTTCTATACTCCTGCTCCCCTTTAACAGAAGGAAGCTTTTGCATTTGCTTCTTGTTTCTTTGATTTATTACTCCGGCTGCCTGATTGACAGTCTCATTCCAGTTGATGGAAGACAGTTACTAAGAGCTCTTCTTGTACCAATTTTTATTTCATGCTAGTTTTTTCTGTTTACTGAAGTCTTTTTGGTGATTGGAGCCGAGGCATCTTAATGTGCTTCTCTAAAGGCTTCTGTTATCAGTTAATCCTGTTACTGCTTTCTTTCTACCTCATTTGGATTGTTCTTTGAAAGAAATTATTCTCTTAAATAGGAAAGACAAGGCTTCAAAAAAGTTGAATTGTCCAGGCAGTGGGAGAGTCAAACATCTGTACTCCCTTCAGCGAAGGACAGAGAAGCAATGGCTTTAGTAGGATTTCAGAAAACGCACATAGAGCAAGCAGCAATGTCTGTTGCGATAGACTCCTTGGAGCCATTTTTACACTCCAGCCTTTTCTAATAAGCAACAGTATCCTAAGAAATCCTACTTAAAGGACTGCAGTTGTTAGTACAATTCTTAGACTGCAGGTACAGAAACAGTCATCAACATATTAGTTTTGTACATTTAATTTAGAATATTCGTGTTATGCAGAAAATAAGAAATGAAAAAAAGGTATATTTAGTGATCAGTCAAAAGGAAGTAAACAGTATAATCCCAACTCTCTAAACCAACAATCTTTTTTCTTTCCAGCTCAGCTATAACAGAAAAAGATGTTTGCAAACAATCGTATAAAGGTTGCTCATTCAGAAAATCTGTGGTGCTATAGTAGAAATTAAACTAATGTTTATGCACAGCTCAGCTGTTTAGGATTTTTTCCCCCATTTTTTCCATAGTCTACTGTAACATCTTCAAGTATTAAAGGCTCACATAAGCTTATCCTCTTAAGAGGTGTTTGCAGGAGAAGAAAGGCTTTTTTTCTTTTTTTAATTGATTATAAGATCCCCCCAACCCACCATGTTTGCAATAACACTGTTGTATAGATAAAGATTGTAGCTCCTTAGATCTGTGTTTGAGACAGGTGGCAATTTTTAGACTTCTCTTGAAATAAAGCAAATATTTCCTTTCAGTTACTAATTCGGCATAACAGGGCTGCGTGATGAGGCAGTTCCATTTTTGTCACCAGATAACTTTAGGAACTTCTTGCCATGCTTGTGTGCATTTACCAGTACATGAGTTTGACTTTGAAAAACACTTCTTCTGGATGATGAAAAATGTGAACAGTGCCTAGCCTATCTGACAGAAGTTTGCTATTTTGATTGAAGATAAAAAATGTTGAGTGTTTATTTGTGCTTTATTCCTGTTTTGTTTTTCTTTAGTTTAACTCTTTCTAAAAAAGTCAGATGAATTTACAAAACAGCACGTGTTACTTTAACTTGTTGTTGCTAAGGCTAAAACTTCTTTTACTCTTAGGTTTAAAATGTGTTAACAGTCATCTTAGTTTCTATAAGGAACTGTTAGAAAGGTTTTTTGTTGTTTTTTTTTTTTTTTGTAAAAACTATAAGACATATCTTACAGTTTCTACAGTTCTCTTTGGTGTCCTAACCTTTTCAGAGAAAATATGCTGTTATACTTCGCTGTTACATTTTATAGAAATAATTGTCGAAAAGTCCAATTCTTGACTTAGTATGGGTATAGGATCCTCTGCGTGGTTCTTCACATGTTTACAGAAATACTGTCTAAAGGCTGTGTAGATACCTTCTCTTTTTAAAGCTGGTTCAGATAGAAGAGAATTATAGAAATATTTATAATTCTATGTTTGTAACTCTTTGAGCTTTCTTTTAGATTCAGATATTCATTCTTAAATTCAGATTTCACTCTTCAGTAAATATACTTATTTTGGTTTCTGTCTTTACATCTTATTTGGTCCAAAGTTTGAAAAGAAATTCGAATGATGATTCACAATCCTGCATAAAGTTAAGTCTATAAAATTTAATTTTTATAGAACTAAGCCATGGAAGAAGTTGGAGAGGGATATTTAAAATACCTTGATTGCCTCCTGGATTCAGTCTGTCATTTTTAAACCTTTGGGCTATCCAGTGAAAAATTAAAGAGAATGGCTGGTCACCTAAGTAGAGGTTCTGGATATCCAGATACAAGGATGTGGAACATCATGGACTTGGAAGTTTCCTCAGAATTATCATTGATACTTTCACTATGTGCTGTAAGAAA